TTTCCTTTTAATGGTCTTTTTGTTTGGTATACAACGTCCTTACAATTCATACAGGTATGAGTCTTGATGTTGATATGCACTATTATTGTAGTTTTTCGCACTGAGGCTCCATTCGGTACTATCGACATTTAAAATTCTATGAGACATCAAGATCGAATTTATTGACAAATTTCTTTATGATAAATAGGAAGACGAGTCAGMATTATAATATAAAACTTGAGCTTTGTTTTGGCTTGATCAGTTTCGGTGATCAAATCCTAAAGAAATCTTTAATAACCAAAACTAGTCTAGCTAGTCCATTCATGACGACGTGTGATTATTTGATTGTTGTTCTATTTTCCATCATTTTGGCGAACAAGCACGCCAGAGGGATTTATAGARAAGCATTTGAAAATTTCTACATTTATTGCTAAGAAACTATGATATGATAATAACAAACAATAATTTTAAATAATGATGAATGCAGATTTCTTAAAACTGCTGAGACAATAGAATARCATCGATAATCTAATTGTCGATCTTTGGATGGAAATTCGTCAAGGCAAGAAAAATATAGATTGAATGGAATTGAAATTGACTGAGTTCCGTCAAATGGCGGGATACAAGACGATCTGATATTTGTGCGCTGGGGGGGGGGGGGGGGGGGACATCATATGAAACTCATAATTCATAAACCAAATTTACGGCTGGCTGATTATTAAATGATTGATGTCGTCAAACAAGAATTGATTAATATATAATGTGAAGAATCGGGGTAAATTATGGGTAAATACGAAATGCATTGGTAACGTTGCTTAAAGTACACAAAAGGAATATATACTTCCTCGGTTCAAATATTTGCGYACGTTACTGGAAATAAAAATCCATACTTGGAATAATTTTGTATTTAAAAATAGCTAGTAGAAATTACTTTATTACACGAAACAAAAAATACTCCCAAAAGAATAAAGCAACAATCTGTAGAAGTGAACGACTGTAAAGAAAGGATTCAACGAGGAAAGAGGAAGGAAATAAATATATACCTTAAAAATAGCGGTGACGATGAACACTGGTCAGATTTCATCGACGTTAGACGTGACAATTGAAATAAAAATGAGTTTACTCGCACTTTAAGACCTTCAGTTGATTGACCAGTTAACTCCTTTCTTTTATATCTAAAGTTTGCTATTAAAATGACTTATTTAGAAGTTGAATTCAACGAGAATTTTGATTTCTCGCTACCCTTACTTTGCCTATTCGACAAAATGGACGCCGAGAAGGTGTATTGATCGATATAAGCCAGGGCTTGTTTGTAAATCGTGACATGACCATTATAGGAGCTCTTTAGATTCCTTACTAATTGAATGCTATTATTTTACATCCTTGTTTTATTGCATGACAGGTCATCTTAAGTCTCTCTATCTACAGCATGGGAGATCCAGAAGAGTTGTGCATGACTTTAACTTTGGATTTAGTTCCCTTTTTCAACATTTTTAGAGAAGATATGGAAGGAAGCATCAACAGCATGGCAAAAGATTTAGAAAGATGCTGCCTTGGGAATTCTAATGTTGAGATCATTCATACCGGAAGTGGTTTTGAAGGTCTTTCTCTACCCCATCTCGATAGACTCACCGTATGGAATACTGATGCAGACCACATGATTATCAGGACAGATTTAGAASTACTGGAAGAAGTGAAATTACAAGAGACGAACACCCAGGAAACTGTGGAAGAAAAGCATAACTKTCCAGTAAGCGTTCCAGGAAGTGAGGAACATYCGATTAAGTCGATGGATAAATCTAAAAATGTTTTTTACATTTTCGATGCTTCGCATGCTGGCTATGCACACTTAACAGAGGAGCAATTCTCAAATAAAGTAGACGCACATGACGCTCCAGAACATTACCTCCAGAACTTAAAATTCATTGAAGAAAGCAGGAGTCTAATTCCCCTGAGAGGAGGTAATTTCATGACAGCAGGGGAAGGATTAATTACAGGCCCTTCGTATTCCCTCCCTTACACAATGGGGACTTTCACGATTAATCGTGATTTCGTTTATGGCCTAAAATGTTCATTTTGGCCTTCACAAGGAGAAGAATGGATGTATTCGTAAACGAGAACATGGCTGGCCCAGCTCCGCAATTGCTTCCACAATATTAACCCAAGGTTGTCACATCGTGCCCGTGGGGTCACACAACAGCGTTYTGAGAGATTTCGAGTGGAGATTTTCGTTTTCTGTARCTGAGTTGATGSTGGCGCGATCACTGTCAGAGAAACAAAAGCTGGCTTATTCAGTTTTAAAGTCTTTAATCAAGAATGAAATGAAGCTACGTGGGCTAGACGTGTTCACCTCTTACCACCTCAAAACTAGTTTGTTTTGGTATCTCGAGAAGAAAGGAATAGAGTCTTGGGACAAGAGTTCCTTGGCTAGAAATATTTTCAACCTCCTGGACTTTCTCATCGAATTCTATGCCAGAGAATGTCTTCCGAATTACTTCATCTCGAAGAATAACATGATAGATCATCGCTCTTCTAAAGAAATCCAAGCTACATGTCACGCTCTAAAAGACATACGTGTTA